GCTGTGAACATTCTAAACTAACACGAGTCTCATTAAGTGTCCAGTTTAAGGGTATTACACAGAAACATACCAAGGGAACATGAATCAAATATGCACCTTAATTCATTTACAATAAACTCATAAAGTACATCATTCTGATTGAAGCTAAGGGCATACAAAACTGTCTAACACTTATTGTATTATAATAGGCTGTATGTAGGTTGTTTTGTACTTTGCCCACTAATAAGACTAGCTCTTTGAGGGTAGGAGCATTCATTCGATACACCCTCCTAAGCACCTCTTCTTCTTTGTTTCATATGAAACTCTAGAAGGGTGACATGGTATCATAGCAGGTGTTTTAAGATATTTTGAACATTTCAACCAAAGGAAATTAGGGTTTATTCTTGGTTGGAAGAACTCAGGTCGAGTGATTTCTCCTGGGACGTCATCAAGGGCTAGGGTTGATATTAGGAGCTTCCAACTAGGGTTTAGAGTTCTGTTTAGAAGGACAAATAATTGAAGGTATTTTTGAGAAGTTTTTTACACAATTTTCTGGGAATTTGTGAGCACATTTTAGGGGTGAAATATTGAGTTTTCATATTAGCTCGAAACTGAAAATATTCAATGTCAGATTGGGTTGTCCTAGTATTTCTCTTGACTTAGTTAAGTTTGGCCTTGGGATTCTAGATTCCAGATCATTTTTTATAGACCTATTGAATGGTTGCCTGGTTGGTTGAACTCAACATTTAGGGGGTTTAGTAGCACTCATTCTGCCCCAATTTTAGTGCCAGAAAAATCTAGTAGTATACCAGATCTGTTTGTTGCCTCCTCTTGGCACATCTGTAATTGTACATATCTCTTAATCTAATAGAGGCTCTTTGGGGTGGGGATCGACTGTACAATTGACACCCTGAAACTGTTTGCCTTCCTCCTTGTTCGAATCTTCTTGTTGTCATGGTACCAGAGCATCTGATTTGATTCAATACTTGGGGCTCAAAAAGGGTGATTCAAAGGGATTCAGACCTCCATTCAAATACGGTTTGACCTTTTTGAGGGCTATTTTGATCAACCCAAGATAACCTGTTTTCTCCAAGAAAGACACCTACTAAGTCAGATTTTTTGTGATTTCTTCCAATCAGCTTTTATGTTCAGCCTTGTATTCTAAAGTTTGTGTCACCCTAACCCACTTTAGATGTCCCATTTGTAATCTGAAGAGCTATACTCGAAGTAGCAAGGAAGAGAAGAGAACCACAGAACTGAAGAGAATGTCGAACTGTCCTAGCCAGTCGACCAGTCCTTTAATTTATAGATGAATATAGTACAAGGTACAAGAAATTACTGGGATGCCCCTGATTAGTGATGGGACACCCAGATGACTTAAATCATTAAACAGGATTAGGCCCATTAACACAGGCCCAGTTACAAGATAAGTTAAACATAAGAATGGGCTAATAAGAACTCTTATCAGCCGAACATCACTCTAACATTCTAACACCATTTATTGGTTTGAAGACTTACCTCAATTTAGAAGAGTTTTGATCCCTTCTCTAGTTCGGTAGGCCTACGACCTTCCATATTTGGACTGTTAGTCCTAAAACCTAGTTGTTTGGATTACTATCTTCGAGAATCATATTTTCTTTGGTTATTGGATATTTGTTCTGGTGTTTAGACGACTTTCTAATTAGTTTTCCCAAGAGAACTGCTTGTTTTTGTTACTTTTTGAACTCGGACTCAAACCTGTTATTGTTCTGGATTGGAAACCGCTAACCTAGACGGCTGATAAGGTTGATGTCATACCTATGAAGTTTGATGTAACTCACTACAGTATGTGAAAGTTCCATTTTGATTTCTTTGTTAAGGGAAAGGATCTCAAAGGCTATTTGAATGGTGTAGTTACTAAGCAGATGAAGCTGAAGCAAAGGCTTTTAGCAATGGAAACTTAACAATGGAAAATTGGTTTCTTGGATTCAAAATTCCATTGAAACTCATATTGTTGTACCCATGAGAAGACTGGGAACTGCTTTTGATATTTATGCTTATTGAAGAAGGTTTATTACCAGTCTAACATGTCTAGGCAATACCAAATTGAATCTAAAATATTTGCATATTGTCAAAGATATAGGAAAATACAAGAATATTATGCCAGATTTCTAGATTTATGGGCTGAATATGAGCTAGTACACATTG